CATTTTGGCACAATATTACAGAAAAAACGAGTTTTTCATTGCTCATGAATATTAATTTATGCAAATGAGGCGATTATTTCAACCAATCGTGTCATGCAACTCCCCCCCTGGTTCAGAGAGAAAAATCGTATTTCGTTAGCTCCATGAGTGAGCTCCAAACTTATAGGTACTATTAAACGATGATGTTGCTCAGCTGAGCTGTAGACTGTTTTCTGTAATTTTCCGTGCATACCCCCCCCCCCTCAATAAAATTTCTACAAAAAAATATAATTGTCAATTTAGCGTGATCTCGAAAACTAGCGTGACCGCGAATTCATTCGCGGTCAAGTTAGTTTTCGCGATCACGCTTAAAAGGACAATTATTTCTTTTTGTAAAAGAAAAAAGAAGTCCTGACTTTGTCAGTCTAGATCAACCTCTAAGGCACTGTGTTTGGTCATAGACCCTTTAACTGTTAGAGGGGCTATGGTTTGGTCAAGTTGTTTGAAATGCTCTGAGCAGTCTGAGGTGGTGTCTACTTCAACCCGGGAGTTCAACATCGTGCCGGGCATCGTGCCTGACGAGCGGATTCGCGCATGCTCAGACTCACTTCTAACTCAAAGGGTGAGATGCGATCAAAGCCCGTGTCGTTCATGTGACTGACAGACAACTCCTATACGCGACAATGGCGGTTAATAATGAATTGCACCTTTACTATTTTCCGTTTTCATATTACTCACAGAGGGTATGTATATTTTTTTTCTTCTGACATCAGTTTACCAATAACCAACTATTACATGATAATGATTTGGACTGAGATCGTTTTTGTCATGGTCCTTATTAAATGTCCCATGACCTTACCTTGAACTTTGGGTTCGTCGGCCTGTTTCACTGTAGTTCTATAGTCTGTGTACGTATTAAAATACTAAAATATTGTTTGAGCCTCTTAAACTCTAGTCTCGTGACGGAATTACAACAATCCAATTGTTCTTTGAATAATGAAATAAGGGGTGCGCCATTAGAAACTCTGGAGGGGCAATGGAAGAATTGAAAACAAAAATAATTCACAGGGAAAATGAGAATTATTTTTGATTTGGTGATTAAACACCACAACCTCCAGTGTAGGATAACTTCACAGCTCCAATATTTCAGAATTTGTTGTAAAATCAACTAATGTTATAATGCTATACAAGATGGCAGTTAATACATTGATGCAAACTGCACATGAAAGTACAAATCAAAAATACGACTAGAAGCATGGGATGAAGCGAGTTAAAGGTTTAAATGTCACGGAATGGGAGAATTTTTAAATTGGAAAAGTTTATTTGTGCACTCGAAATTGGAAAATTTTCATTAAAAAATCACTAGACAATTCAACCCGATTTGTGTCAAAATTTCCAGTTTTTGAAAATTGTAAAAATGCTTGGTGAGTTTTATTCAAAATTGTCCATAGAAGTGAAAAATTAAAATGTTGAGACTAACTCAGAACAAGAATGATAATTTAAGATGAAATTACATGACTGACTGCAGCTGATTCTTGTCGGCCAACATTTTTAAAATGTTGACCAACTAAATGCAACAAATTAAACATGTTTTGTGTCCCGCTGACAACTTTGGTCAATGTTTTGACATTTGCCCCCAAAAAGTCTGTTGTGTTTCTATGCCTTTCAGGTGTCAACGTGCATCTATCAAAAATTGTATCACACGGAGTTGAAATAACTTTTGTAATTTAAATACATAAAGTTGTTTTATAAATATTAAAAGAAATACAATTTTATTTTACCCCATGTTTTCTCCATGACCATCCTCCTTGTTAAGTTCTTGTCAACACTTTTACAGAAATAAAAATCAAAAACCTAGAAATGTTTCATTTTGATCTTCATCAATGTATACTTGTATTCCTAACATTTAAAAATCATTTTCTTGTATCATATTGGAATTTGAAAATGGGACTGTGAAGCTTTTTTTTGACATGATTCGGGAGAGAATGTGATTACTGCAACTAATCCAAGACAAATAATACCCTATTTTCATTGGTTTGAAAGATATTTTCACTGAGGATGACACCCAACTTGTTGGCATTGGCAATGGGCTGGAACCCGAAACTTGTAATTTTGTATTACTTACGTTTTTGGCAGTTGAGCAGAAAGCAATCTGATTAAAATCTGATGTAGTGTACAGGGCTTTAATTATTTTGGCTATGAACTTATTTTAATTTTATTTTTTATTACTTTTGTTATTAATGCCCTTTTATTTTATTATTTTACTTTGATTTTTTTTTTAATTCTGCCCTACCTACATCTGATCCGACGCCAATATAAGTCCCGTTCAAATCTCGCGTAAGTAACAGCATCACAGCCCCCCTTTTATACAGGCTGTCGGTGCTACTTT